CTCCTGCCTTGCCTTTGTTTCTTAGGATTGCTTTTGCTATTCTAGGCCTCTTCTGGTTCCAGATGAATTTTAGGAATGTTTTCTCTAGATCTATGAGTATAGTAATGGTATTTTAATTGGGATTGCACTGAATCTGTACAGCAATTTTGGGAGTATGGCCATTTTCACAATGTTGGTTCTTCCTATCCATGAGCAGGGAATATCTTTCCATTTTTTGAAATCCTCTTTCTTCAGAGTACTATAATTTTCATTGTATAGGTCTTCCTTTTAAAAACTGATTCCTAAGTATGTCGTTTTTTAGATGCTATTATGAAAAGTGTGGTTTCCCTGATTTCTCTCTCAGTGTATTTGTTGTTTGTGTACTGGAATGCTATTGATTTTTTAGTGTTGACTTTGTGTCCAGCTATTCTACTGAATTTGGTTATTAAATCTATAAGCCTTTTAGTATAGTTTTTGGGGTCTTCTATGTAGAGTACCATGTCATCTGCAAATAATGGTAATTTCACTTCTTCCTTTCCTATTCTTATTCCTTTTATTTCTATCTCTTGTCTAATTGCTCTGGCTAATACTTCTAGAACTATATTAAATAGGACTGGTGACAGTGGACATCCTTGTCTTCTTCCTGATTTTAAAGTGAGAGCTTTGAGTTTTTGTCCATTTAGTATGATGTTGCTGGGGATATAGCTCAGCAGCACAAGTGCCTGCCTGGCAAGCAGAAGGTCCTGAGTTAGATTCTTGGTACCAAAAAAAAAAAAAGGTTTTCGTTTAGTATGATGTTGGCTGTTGGTTTGTCATAGATGGCTTTTATCAGAATGAGGTAAAGACCATCTATTCCTATTTTCTGTAGCGTTTTTATCATGAATGAGTGTTGGACTTTATCAAAAGCTTTTTCTGCATCTATTGAGATGATCATGTGATTTTTGTCTTTGGCTGTATTGACATGGTGTATTACATTAACTGATTTGTGTATATTGAACCATCTTGGCATTCCTGGGATAGATCCCACTTGGTCATGATGTATAATCTTGATGATTTGCTGCATTTTGTTTGCTAGTATTTTTTTGTTTCATTTTTGTTTTTTTCCTGGTACCGGGAATTGAACTCATGACCTTGTGCTTGCCAGGCAGGTGCTGTGCCATTGAGCTAAATCCCCAGCCCCATGTTTGCTAGTATTTTATTGAGAATTTTTGCATGTATTTTCATTAGAGAGATTGGCCTGTAGTTGTCTTTTTTGGTTGGGTCATTCTTTGATTTTGGTATCAGTGTAATACTTGCCTCCAAGAATGAGTCAGGGAGAATTCTTCCCTTTTAGTTTCATCAAACAGTTTGAGAAGAATTGACATTAAATCTTCCCTAAATTTCTCTGTGGAATTCAGCAGTGAATTCCATCAAGACCTGGGCTTTTCTTTGTTGCTAAGTTTTTGTATTACATTGTCAATTTTGTTGGCAGATATTGAGTTATTCAGGTTTTTTATATCTTCTTGATTCAGCTTTGGTAATTCATATGTATCTAGCAATGTGTCCATTTCCTCTGTTTTCCATCCCATGAGAGTAAAGATTTTCACGTAGGTATTGATGATCTTCTGTATTTCTACAGGATTGTAGTGATTTCATCCTTTTCATTCCTTATTGCATGAATTGGAGTATTTTCTTTCCTTTTTTGATAAGGTTGGCTAGGGGATTATCAGTTTTATTTATTCTTTCAACAAACCAACTCTTAGATTCATTAATTCTTTGTATTGTTTTCTTGGTCTCTATTGCATTAATTTCTGTTCTAATCTTTATAATTTCCTGCCTTCTTTGGGCTTTGGGCTTGACTTGCTCTTCTTTTTCTAGAAGCTTGAGGTGCAGCATAAGATTGTTTATTTGTGCTTGTTCTGTTTTCCTGATGTGGGAATTCACCAGTATAAATTTCCCTCTGAGGACTGCTTTCATTGCATCCCACAGGTTCCTGTAAGTCATATCTGCATTTTTGTTTGAATGTAAATATCATTTAATTTCTTCTTTAATTTCATTTATGACCCATTAGTTATTCAGGAGGGTGTTATTTAATTTCCATGTGTTTATGGAATTTTGCAATTTCTTTTGTCATTAATTCCCAATTTCATTGCACTATGGTCTGACAGTATGCATGGGATAATTTCAATTCCTTTGCATTTACTTAAGCATGTTCTGTGTGCTAGAATATGGTCTATTTTAGAGAATGTCCCATGTGCAGCTGAAAATGTGTATTCTGATCTTGGGTGGAACACTCAGTAAAGGTCTACTAAGTCCATTTGTCCACAAGTTTGGTTTAGTTCTGTTATTTCTTTGCTGATTTTTTGTCTAGTTAATCTATTCCTTTGTGCTGATGGGGTATTAAAGTGCCCTATTGTGATTGTTACTGCTTATTTGATTTTTAACATCTGCTAAAATTTGTCTTATATAGTTGGGTTCTTCTACATTTGGTGCATATATATTTATGATTGTTATCTCTTCCTCTTGCAGTTTTCCTCTAACAAGTATATAGTGACCTTCTTTATCTCTTTTGATCATTCTTAGTCTGAAATTCACATTGTCTGCAAACAGAATAGCTACTCCTGCTTGTTGCTGGGTTCTTGTCACATGGAGTATTGTTTTCCATCCTTTGAATCTGAACCTATGAATTTCCTTTTGAGTTAAATTTGTTTCTTGTATACAGCATATTTTTGTATCTTGTTTCTTGATCCACTCTGCCAGCCTACTTCTTTTGATTGGTTAATTGAGACCACCTACATTGATGGTTATAACTGATATGTATTGGCTTATCTTTGTCATGTTATTTTCCTGGTATTGGTTCCTCCTTTTCCCCCTCTGTTTAATTGCTTGCTTTGCTTGGTGGTTCCTTTTTATTGTTGTGCTTGAAATTGTTGTCATTTATGTCTCTTTCTAGAATATCTTTTAGTCCTCTTTGTATGGTTGATTTCTTCAGTTGTTCCTTACTGTGGAAATATTTTATTTCCCCATAAATTTTGAAGGATAATTTTGCAGGGTATATCAATTTGGTTTGGAAGTTGTTTTCTTTTAGGACCTGAAATACTTCACTCCAAGCTCTTCTTGACTTGATGGTTTGTGTTGAGAAATCTGCCATGATTCTGATGGGCTTTCCTTTATAAGTGATCTCTTTCTTCTGTCTAACAGTTTTTAATATTCTTTTCTTTTGCTGAATTTCTGGGATCTTGATCATTATGTATCTGCATGTAGATTTATTTTGGTTAAGGCTAATTGGAGTTCTACATGCCTCATATACATGTATGTCAGATTCTTTTTTCCATGTCTGGGAAATTTTCTGCTAGTACTTCTGCAAATAGTCTTTTTATGTCATTTATGTTGATGTCTGCTGTTTTGTTGACATTTATCTTACATTGTTTTTCTTTGCATCATCTTGCAGCTGCTGAATTGGTATTTCCTGGTTCCTTTTTATTTTTAAGACATCTTTCCTTTCATGATCATTAGCTGCAATGCTGTTTTTAAGGTCTGAAGGTCTATCTTCAGCTTCATTCAAGTGGTTTTGCCAGCTTTCAGTGGAATTTTAAATTCCTGGAGATCTGTTTGAATCTGTTTCATGCATTCTAATCCTTTCCTATATTGTTCATTCAAGGTTTCCATCATTTTTCTGTGCTGTTCTTTTTTTTTTTTTTTTTTAATCTACATCTTTGGATGTGCTGACCAGCTCTTTCATTATTGTCATTTCTTTTTTTACCTGAGAGATTATTTCTGATCTGGTGTCTTCTATGGCCTGATGGAGTTGTTTCTTTACTTCACTTGCTATCATTTCAGAACTTTCAGGTGTATGACTTCCAAGCTCTTCTGTGTCAATGTGTCCTGGACTTGTTCTGGGTGGGATGGAGATCTGAGGTTGCACTTTACTCCTTCATTTTGTTATTTCAAAGATTTGGAGGTTCCCTGGAGCTCAGCCTCACTCTTATGATGGTGTGGGAGTGGCAGGGCAAGGACACCAAGGTCCCTGGTGCTGAATGCGGCTCCCCTAATGTTGTGTTTGGGTGGGGTACAGTCACCAATGGTCCCAAAGCTTTCAGGGGCTCAGTTGGGTCCCACGCCAGTGGGAGAGGTGTGGGAGTGGCTCACAGAAGTTCCCAAAGCTGTCTGGGACTCAGCCTTTCTCCCACATTGGTGGAGAAGGGTTGGGGGCTCTGTCACTGAGGCCTCTGAAGCTGTCCAGGGCTCAGCCCAGCTCCTGTGATGTGCATGGGTAGGGCCACAGGGTGTGGTCACTGAGGCTTCCAAAGCTCTTTGGGGCCCAGCCTGGCTCCTGCCTTGCTTTTTCTTTTTCATTTGTATTCCTGAAAGCTACTTGGGTGTAGGAGAAAAATATTTGTATGAAAGGTTAATTCTTTACCTGACTGAAAAAAGGAATAGAACTCAGATATATTTTCTTCTAGGGTAACTTAGGAGGAAGTCAAATGTTGTAAGTAGTAGTAAGTATTTATTTTATTTTGTTGGGGTACTGGGAATCAAACTCAGGACTTCACGCTTGCCAGACAGGCACTGTGCCACTGAGCTAAATCCCCAGCCCAGTAGTAGTAAGTTGTATGGCTAGACTCAATTTTCTATTCTTTTTAGAACTTTTATTGTGCTCAAAGAAATAAAATTTATTTTATAAATAACAGAAATAGGGGCTGGGGATTTAGCTCAGCGGCAAAAGTGCCTGCCTGGCAAGCGCAAGGTCGTGAGTTCGGTTCCTTGTACCGGAGAAAAACCAAAACCAAAAAAAAAAAAAAAAACAGAAATAAAATTTATTTTACAAGTAACTACCTGAGGAAATTTGAGCTCAATAAATATCTAAAAGGTTACACTGTTTGATACTCATATTTACATATGAGTTTAACACAGTTTTACCTTTAGAAGGTCCTTGCCAAGATCTGTGTTTTCTTTTTATGGTTTATAGTTCAAGGGTGTGAATAGAAAATATTCACTGGTCCTGTTTCAGAGGAGGTAATCTCAAAATTGGGAGGGTAATGATGGTGGTACAGGTGCTTCCATGCATATAGTAGATCATTTTGCTGACAATGTAAGATGTTTGAGTGAAAAGGAACCTGTATTAATTCCTTTGAAGGGCAACATTTAACTTGTTTGTACCTATTTTCTGATGAGAAATTGGGATACTGTATTTGCTTGGAAGGGTTGTATGACACATCATACAAGTTCTTTAACAGATTTGTTGTGAGTCTACTATGTGTCCGGTACTATCTTTCTGTAGGGATGAGCAAGACAAAATATTTGTATTTATAGAGCTTACATTCTGGTGGTACTCAAACTGGCACTTACTGATTTGAGGAAAGCCGAAATAAAAAGGAATTAAGAATGCCAAGGACAGGCAAAAACTTCTACCAGTTACTTATTATGCAAAAGCATAATGATAAATTATTGAATGTTCATTCCACTCTTTTTGTTATTTAATATTGAAAACATTCATATTGAGAAACTGTACTCAGAAGAGTTAGCTATAAGTATTTAATATATCAGTGTGGCTGCCCACTTTGCACTGTTCATAATCTACCTCCAGACAGTCTCAATTTTGCCTTGTTAGTCTTCACATAACAGCCAAAGATCTGTTCCTCAGCTTGTTGTCTGCTGTTCATACAGTGAGTAGCAGCAGCTGAATGGTACTTACTTGCCTCTTCCTCAGGCCTTCTTTACTAACAGTCTGACTTCCTACCCCGTGAAATGTCTGATTCATCTGTCTTCCTAAAGACAGTGTTATGAAGTCTTTAGTACCTTTGAACCAGTTTCATCCAAATACTGGTTTTTCTTGTGGATAACCAGGGCTTAAGAAACATTCTCCTCTTTTGGTTTCCTTTACATCCTTCCCCTCTTGGAACATAACCAAGGTGGTGAAGGTATAGTATTCTCATTGCTTGGGGTACCTAAGGTTCTTGTGGACATACCGTGAAGGGATACCAGGCTGGTGACCAGCATCGTTGAGACCTTTTCTTGTGGGAAGGCTGAACTGGGAGGGCCTTCACTGTGGCTGAACTCAGAGTGTTGTCTTTGTTTCACTTCCATTACCATATCTGTCTGGATCAAAAGAAAGTTGTGGGTTGACAGAGGGTTTTAGAAATCAGTGTGTCCTTTTGTACCATCTCAGAACAATTGTTATGTGATCTCTAAGAATACACTGTGGCATAATTCATTGCCCCAAAAAAGTATTTTTAACATTCGTGGGTGGTGATGATATGTCTAAGCAGCAATAAATACAGGATCTAGTATTTGTCAGACACTAGGGATGCAAATAGACTTTGGAGGCATACTAGAGTTTTGCCAAGGAGTCAACTAAGACAACAAAGTCACTTTGGACTTGGATATCTCTGAATCTCATTTATAAATCATCTCTGGAGTAGATCAAGCAATTTAACATAAGCTAAAATCTTGGCTTTGAAATAGATCTGGATTTTACTTACTGGTGGACATAGACAAATTATCTTTTACTTTTTACTTACTGGTGGACATAGACAAATTATCTTTGAGCATTAGTGGTAGTGACTACCTCAAAAGTCCATGGCAATTAAATGAAATAATACATGATATCACTTAGCAAAAGGCCTGGTACACACTATGCACTGGTACATGATAAAATTGTTTGTTTATGTCATTTGTTACCTGTCTGGTCTTTCTTGTTTCACCTTTCAAAAGAAGCCTACCTTCCGTTTTGGGGGCCCATCCATAAGTGCTAACTCTGATACTTAAATGTGCTGACAGAATATGAAAGGCACTTTTTGTTAGGTAAAACCATAATAAGTAGAAATACTTGAGATACTATTAGAAAGATATGAATGCTAGACTAAGGAGCAAGGACTATTTTATGCTTCATTTCCTCAGATCACAATAAGTATTTGTTAGATGAATGAAAGGGGGCCATTGTTCACTGGTTCTGTTTAGCTAGAGCAGAATGAAATTTTATAGTGCCTGCAGTGCTAGGCTGAAGTAATTTAGACTTACTCGATAGAAGCCATTACATTTCTTGGAGTGATGATGTGACATGTACAATTAGCATTTTAGAAAGATAGTGGAGTGACATAGGATTGGAAAGAAACAGTACCTTGTGCACCAATTTTTAGGCAACAGAAGAGCTTAGTATCAGGTCCTGTGGGAGGTGTGAAATATAAAGAGATGAAGACAGAGTTAGTGATCTTTCAAAAAACTCACCAGTTAAAAAAGTAGGATTATTTAAAGTGTTAGGTGGTGAACACCCGGAAAACATCATTGTAAAGACGGGAAAATGTAAACAATTAGTAGTATTTAGTAACTGACTGGACAGGGAATAAGAAAAAAGGAGGAACACAGATTTTGACTGAGTATCATGGATAGGGTAGGCTTGGTTTTGAATTTGAGGAAACAGCAGGACATCTAGAAGACAGGAGTACAGCTATCAATGGGAATGTTTAATTAACACTTATGAAAAGAGGTTCTTGCTGAGGAAGTTGATTACTGGGTCGTTTGTAAAGAAGTTAAATATTAACTTGTGGATGCAAACTTGGTAGAGATAGAAAAGGCTGAAGGAATGAGGAGTCAGTCATGTTTGGGAGATGAGAGGAACAAAAGCAGAGAAGAAAAAAAAACAGACAGATAGGACAAGTAGGGAAGAACAGAGTCACTGAGGCCAATAAAAGAAGAGTTTGGTGAAGGGGAGGATAGTTAGAAATACTAAATTCTATGCCTATGTTACATAAGATGATACAAGAAAACAAGAAAGAAACCTAGATCAAATTGGACTGAAGTATAAATTTTGAATTAGTAATCATAGGAGATGATGAAAATGTTTGCTTAAAGGCTCCTTGCCAGGATGTGTGTGTGTGTGTGTGTGTAATTTATATTACATTTATTTTTCTTAAATTTAAGAAGTAGGATAGTGTTTACAAGTCTATAATTAATAATATAGTATCCTTATATACTGTGCTCATTCCCCAGGGATAATCACCACCAACTCTTTGAGATGTCTTATTATATTCCTTAATAATATGCTCATATTATCACTTCCTGATGAAGTTTAGATATTAGCTGTTCACTTTCCATTATGCAATATGGTTCTCTTCCCTTTCTACCTACTTCTCTGAATCCTTCCAAAAATAATGTCACAGTTTTTAGTTAAATTAGTAATTTTTACATAATTCTATACTTTTTGCAGTTATGTGCTGTTTCTTTTATAATATTTAGTGCCTTTTTCCTAAAGATAATAATTTTTTACTGATACATATATTTAACCTTAAACATCTATTATGGGCCTTCAGAAAGATGATCTGTCAGTACCATTTACTCCCTAGCAATCTCACTTCCAAAGCCTTCTTTCTATTCCTCTCTTCTGAACTAACTGCCCTTTTTAAGTTTAGAATTTCCTTTCTGCTATAAGATCTCCTATTTCTGGATCCTATTTTATCTATTTTACTGATTCACTCTTTTGTTTCATTGAAGTACTTCCTCTGATAGCTCTTTGAGAAGTTCATATGGAAGGTAAGTCTTTTGTTTTTGTTTTGCTTACTTGTTTATTTTCTTGAGTCATTGCATGTCTGGTAATATCTGTTCTCACATTGACCACTTAGCCAGATATAGAATTGTAGGTACGAGATACTTTTTTCACAGAAATTTGAAGGGTTGATCTATTGTCTGGTAATAGAACAGAGTTGCTGGGTGTGGTGGTGCATGCCTGTAATCTCAGCACTGGGGAGGCTAAGGCAGGAGGATCATTGGGAGTTTGAGGCCAGCCTGGGCTACAAAGTGAGTTCAAAGCTGGTCTGAACTGCATAGTGAGACCCTGTCTCAAAAAAGCAAAAAAAAAAAAAAAACAAACAAAAAAACAAAACCCAAAGCAAACAAACAAACCCCAAAACTAGAGTCAGTCTGTTAGGTGCTTAATAAAGCTGGGGATAGAGTAGCCTTATATAGACCATGCTGAAATGGTAATGGAGTAGGGGGAACATGCATAGAATGCAGGAGATATGCAAAGATAAGGGGCCTAGTTGTCTTAAAGAAACTGAATCCCAAAGTAACTGTTTTGGGTCCTGTATCAGTCAGGGTTTACTAGAGGAACTGATATAATACAAGATAAAAAAATGTACAAGGAATTACAAGTTTGGCTTACAATGGTCAGCTACAGAGTTGGATGAGGAAGCGTGCAGAGGGTGTCTGCACGCTGGAGATGGAAGAGCCCAGCCCCGGGCCTGGAGCTCGCTGCAGTGTCCATGCAAGTCCGTATCAAAAGGCTGATGGGTCTGCGAAGGAATGCTGAAGAATCTACGATGAAGGCCGGAGAGCCAATACCAGAAGGCTGAAGAGTCCCAGACGGAAGCCCAGCAGTCTGCACCAGAAGCCAGGAGACGACCAAGCTGAAGGCGAAGACCGGAGCTCCTCCAAAGAACCAGCAGCCAGTCCTTGCTCAGTTCCTTTTTTTATGCAGTCTACCTGCTCTGGGGGGATGGGGGTGGTCCTCTACTCCCACACCCTCTGCATGCCTACCTCTTGCACAGGCTCAGGATGAATACAAAGTAAGCACCCTGGCTCCCTTCTGAGTCACATAGTTACCCTTCTAAACTTGTCAAATTAACACAATAAACAATATCCCAGAAGGATAAGGGCGTGTCCTTTTTACCCCAAGATGCAGAACTGCTGAGTCGCTTAGCCAAAGCTCTAGACTTCCCAAGTTGACACAGTGTATCAACCATAACATGTCCCTTCTAGGAAATGGCACTCATGAGAGCCAGCTGTGCTTTTTGCTTTATTTTCCCTCCCCAGATTGGCAGTGGCTTGAATGGGTTTCTGTTTCTTGCAGCTAAAGGTTTCTTAAGTATCATCCATTTTATCTCAAATCCATCTCTTTCTCTGCTTGTTTTTAGACATTAAGTCACATCTCAGAGAGAACCCTAATTTGGAAATCAGTAGGCCTAAATTCCAGACCTGCATCTGCTTTTTCTAGCACCAGTAAAATGGTATTAGACAGGTCTCTTTACCTCTTTGTGATTTAGTCTCTCAATAGAACTGGGATCACCACTCCAGTAAGGCATTTAAAATTAAAGACAAAATGAGATTACCTTTGTATATGTGCTTCAAAGAAAGGCAGTATCTGCTGAGGGAGTGTTGGTAAAGGATTGAATAATAGGAAGGACATTTCCCAAGAAAGGGACCACCTATCCATAGCTTGAAACATCTACTTGTATCCTGAGCTGTTTGCCCTACATGCTATCCCATCTGATGGTGTTAGGAGTATTTGGGACTCACCTGTGACTAGAACAGAGGAAAAATGACCCTAAAGCTACAAACTTAGCCTCTGCCACAGCACTGATAGGTCCCACTGGCCAACAGTGTGGCTTTGCTTATTGTGAACACCAACCGAGATGATTTTTCACTGTCATCATATGTCCCAGGATCCCTTTTAGGCCTCAACTATTCCATGTTGGTTTCAGGTGAACAGTCTCGCAACCTATCACAAAACCAATTTAACCCCTCTGCTTCTTTCTTATGCCACAGAGTACAAATTAAGTTCAGTCACTGTCCTTCCTGTGACACTGAGTTGGTGATGTGTATGCATCCTGAAATGGGAATGGAAGAGTTACCCATGGGAGGTCAGTAGAGTTCCTGAAATCCCACCATAACTGATCCTTAGCAGTAGACGTGTCACCTGGAAGTGACACCAACACACAGGAAACATAAATTCTAACTCTGACTGAATGACTAAAGGCAAATTATTGCTCTATTCCTTTGCCAATAAGTAGTTTATTCACCCGGCATATGAAAATTCAAACTAAATATGCTTAAAGCTTCCATACTGTGCTGCTAGGCCAAGGCTGGGATGAATAAAACATGGGGTTTATAGCCTAATATGAAGATAGATTAGCAAAAAATTACAGTTCAATTATATAATTAGTATACTTGAGGAATCTTAGAGATTCCTATGTTTGTCTGAAATAATTAGGAAAACTTCTCAGAGTAGTGGTTGTGTTGAGACTTGAAGGATGAATAGTTTTTCTATAAAACAGAAGGAAGAGATACAGACCTTTGAGACAGGAGAGCAGTTTTTAAATGGTATCAGTGAGAACTGACTGGACAAATAGACAAATTACTGAGGGACAACTGACATCCAAAGACCATATATTGCTGATGGTGCCACTCTTTAGATTTTATTTTCTCCATAAGTAATTGACAGTGTAGATATAGAATAGGAGAAAACAGACATTTGGGTTAACCCAGGAGGATGCTTTGCCTGGTGGTGTCTCTGACCTAATTTTCTAATCCATTTACCTTTTTACTGCTCCTTGTGCTCCTTACATCACTTTATGTAGTTTGTATTTTGTGGTCCAATGCTATAATCTCTTCTGTCCAGCCTTAATTCCCTTGGCTTTACTGTCTTTCATTACTTGTAAAAACCCAACCTTGGTTAAATCCAGCTCTGCTAAAAACTCACCAGCTTCTGAGGGTACCATTTCCTTTCCCTTCCTGGGGCTTGTTTTCCTTTTATGCTTCCTCTGCGCATACACTGTATAGTAAATTAAATTCATCCCCATGAAAATGTTGAGGAAGCAAAGATGGAAGCTGCCCCAGAGATACTGGAAAAGATTCCCTCTTAGATGAGTAGGTGCTAAACCCATCTCTGAGGGACAAAAACCTGCAATCCCAACCGTTGATTAATTCAGAAGTGGTTTTGTTTTTATTCTCCGAGTGGAACTAGTTACTTTAGGGTCTTTATTAAAGTGCTTTCCTATATGTCTATTCTGTGGTCATAGAGACAGGTATTATTGTTCTGACCTTATAAATAAACTGAGGCACTGTCTTTAAATTGGTTGCTTGAGTTGAGAGGCTATTGCATATGGATCTTAAACCTGGATTTGATAAAGTTATAGTAAAAGCCTGAAGGAATCTTAGCTGAGATCCAGAGAACCAGGCTCTTTGCAACACACAGAAGAGGCAGAATTTTTGCTGAAGAGGGCAATAATATTAGTTTTAATGAAAAGTATATCTTTTACCCTGTCATTAGTATCAGGAAGAGTGAGTCCTTTCTTCCCCACCAGAAAAAAATTGTATGGGATCCATCCTTCCCCACAAGCCCTGGGTTTTCTCTGATGGCTGTCTCTGCTTGGGTCTGTTCCTAGGTGCCAGCAGGATTGCAGAGTGCAGATGTCCACAGGTGTCAGCAGGATTCCAGGGTACAGATGTCTCTGCCAAACACCATCAGCGTCCTCTGCATGTTGTCAGCAGCCTTAGGAACTCGAAGTAAATGTTGTTTTGTTGGTGTCGTTGGCCTCACACTTCTGAAAGCGCAGAGGGATCAACTAGACAAAACCTTCTGGAGCTCCAAGACCATGTCCTGTTCCAAGCACCAGTTTGGCTGGCCAGAGCGTGATGGAGGGAGGAGGGCTTGGGCACAGGAGTCCATCTACGTGGAAGTAAGGGAGTAAATCGAGTCAGGTGTACTGGAGAGGGGAGTGGGACAAGGGGCATATAGAGACACTCGTGTATTTTAGATAGAACCATAGTGCTATCCCTCAAAGTTACCTTTTAGATGCTCGCTAAGAATGCTTCATGATGTATTCATCCTTGTGTCCTTGCCTGCATTGAAATTATCCGTATTTTATACTTTTGCCTGTTGGATAAATGAAAAATTAGACCTCACTGTTGTTTTATCTACATTTTCATGTCTAGTTGGGTTGAAGATGTTTCCATATGTTTATCGGTTATTGATATTTCTTCTTGTATGAATTGGGTGTTCATATTCTTTGCATTTAAAAAAAATCAACTTTTAGGAGTTTCTTTAGAGAAATTAACCTAGCTGTCACTTTAAAATTTGTGTATGTGGGAGAGGTGAGGAGAGGTTGAGACAGGGTCTCACTTTATAGTTTAGGCTAGCCTTGAACTCACTATGAAGCTCAGGCTGGCTTCCAACTTGTGGCAGTCCTCCTGCCTCAGCCTCTCAAGTGCTGCAATTACAGGGATGCATCACCATGCCTGGCCTGTTTGGGGTATTTTGGTTTTTGTGAATTTTAATTAAAAAATAATTTTTTTTGAGGCAGGGTTTCACCATGGAGTCCAGGCTGGCTTCGAACTCATGATGATCCTCCTCAGCCTCCCAAGTGCTGGGATTGCAGGCATGCATCACCACACCTGGCTGTGAATTTTAACTTTTAAAAATTGACACATAATAATTTATGAGTATGGGAGGGTTAATACCTATATACAGTATATGACCAAACCCAAGTAATTAGCACTTCCATCTCCTGAATCACTTCTTTCTGTTGGGAACTTTGAGATCCTCTCTCCCAGTTCTAAATAGTTGTAAACTATAGTCACTACTGTGACTGTAGATGACTAGAATTTATTTCTTTTATATAATCGTGTTTTGGTTCTTCCACTGTATTTTGGTAATCAGCCTCTATCTCCCTCACCCTCTATCCTTCTACCTGCTAGTGATCACCATTCTACTCTCTACCTCTATGAAATCAGTTTTTTTCAGCATTGGGGATTGAACTCAGGTCTGCAGGACAGCATAGAAACAGACTTTTTAAAACCATATTTTCTCTCAGTTGTATTTTGGTTTTGTTTATGGTGCTGTCTTCTCATAAAAATGTACATTTGTGTGTAGAGGCTGAAGATGTAGTATCACATGTTTTGTTTCAAGTTGTCTGAGTTTCCAATATTATTTAAGAAAGTATGTGCAAGCACCGCATTGTTTCTCTAGTGTAAAACCTGAAAGAGACAATTTAAACTAGGAGATATGATAGACATTGGGAATTGATAGGAAAGCACTCATAGGTAAAGGATAACTGGAATATGGGAAAAGAGAAGGGAAAGAAGGAGAAAG